GAGCGCTACAGCAGCGGCCCCTGGTGGCCGGAGGACCACGCCCGCCGGAGGGAGGGTGCCGCGGGCAGACTGTTAGGCAGCGACGACGGAGCACCGAAGCAGCACCCATGGGATGCCCCAGGCCCGGTGTCTCCACACTAATCTCTCAGCAAACACAGGAAACCACAAAAGGTACTTGAGAGCCCAAAATAGTTTATTTAACAATTTGCATTTAGGAAAAATAGCAGCTCCCACCTCGGAGGGAGCTTCCTGGATCAAGTGGCAGGCAGTCACATCCTGAGCAGGGATGCTCTGGAGGGCGAGGGTCCCTGCAGGCACACCTCTCAGTGGTGGGAACTGGTGGGTCCAGGCACACTGGCCTGGGAAGCAGTCTGGAAACTTTCTGGGGGTCTTTCCTAGATGATGAAGTAAACTAGAAAACTGGGAAGGGCTGTGCTAATTCCACATTCTACAATCTCTACACTTAACTCAAAAATGCCAAACCGTTTATGTTCCCCCAGCAGGACCTACCCAAATTATTACCTACTGATTTTTATAAATATTTAAATCTCCCCTTTCCTTCAGTCTCTAGATCAACAAGAATAAGGAGTTTTAAGAACAGTCGGTGAAGCCTTAAAGCTGTCTGGGAAGAGTGGGAGGCCTGGTGGGCCTGAAGCTACTGAAGGTCTCCACTTGGGGCAGAGACCAAGGCTCCAGAGGTCTGTCGGGAAAACTCCAAGCCCCTCCCTTCAAGATGTACCAACTTGGTTGGTGCACACCAACCAAGGGGCACGGCACATGGGTGCAGCCTGCACAGCTCCTTGGCCAGGTGTCTGTGCAAGCTAACACTCAGGAAGGGAGACCCACACTGGCTGGTTACATCAGCTCTCTGGGGCTCCTCCTAGTGACCAGGTCAGGCATCCCAATTAGGCTGGAAATATCTTCATTACCAGAGAGAAATGCACTCCCCAGCTGTGAGCACCTGCAAGGTGCGAGGCCGAGGCTCCTCTTAGGTCTTTTTTCTCAACATCCTCAAGGAATTGTAGGTTCATTTGCAATAATTGTCAGGTGGTTGGAGCAAGGCCCTGGTTTCCCAGGAGCATCGACCGCCTCATGTGGCAACCCCCATCCAGCCTTGCTTCATGGGATGTGGTCAAGAGGCTCAGAGCGTCACATTCTCAGATCACCCTAAGTTACTAGGAAAGGAACACCGTGCTTTCGTGTAAAAATGAATCAGATTCACTCTATCCAGCATCTGAAAGGAACCATGGAATTAATTTTGCAATAATTCATAGAGATGGACGGTAAGGAGGAGATGCACAGTATGACCGGCTCTGAGGTACTGCCATGTCCACTGGGGGCAGGAGACCCTAGGCAGTCCGTCCAGTTCATGGTGGAGAACATTCATCTCAGGGTTCCAAGTGCAAATCCAAAAGGGGATGACTCTAGTTCAGTGCTGGGTATTTCCTCTGGCCAATCCTCCCTGGCCTTGAGCTCCCTGAGCTGGTGGAGGCCTGGAACAGAACAAACAGCACTGATCTGTGTGCCCTCCTCCAGGACGAGCAGCACCAGGGGCCACGCAGCAGGAGGCCGGTTAGTGGGACGAGCCACAGGAACTGCTGACTCAGATCAAATGGACACTAACTGGGGAACTGTGCGTCCACCCACCACCCTGAAGGCCTTGGTGGCTGCACTTGGTCATTCCTGGTACATGGGAATATATAGAGGGTTTTTTCCACAGTGGCTCATTCTGTCAGGGCCATGAGACCTGAGGCTAGTTCTGCAGAGCTGGTGCAGCTGAGTGTGCGGTGAGTTGAGTGGTGGCCAGTGGCTGGTGGCTTCCCTACTACACATGGAGCAGGCCACCAGGCACCAATGGCAGAGCAGACCTTCCTCCCCGTCTTTGACACCTGCTGGACCAAAGGCAAGGGACGGGGCAAAGCTATGAGGCAAGTACAAGATGAAGTGAAGAGAAGAGAAGGAAGTGACATCATCTGAAGCTGAAAGCAGCTAGATGCAAATGTAACTGGGGACGCAGCAGTGTTGGGGGGTCACAACCTCATCTGGACAGGGCCATCAAGGGAGCACTAGCACCCTGCAGGACAAATGTGATCAAGAGCCCGTGGGCCAGGTGGCCAATTGACAACAAAGCCAGGTAAGCTTTGCATTTGGAATCCCAAGATGCCTTCTTCCCCTATCGCATTCACCTTGAAATGGCAGCCAGACCACACTCCAAGGCAAGAGACTGGAGAGAGGAGAGAAGATAGAGGCAAAGAAATCAAAGAGTACTTCTGAACATTTCCCTGGAGGAGGCACACAAAGGCCAGCACACCGGGGGGGGGGGGTCCAGCCCTCAGCATAGGCACCCTCAACACAGAGCTAGAGGCCCTGGAGGGCAGACACTTCCCTTCAAGCTTCAGAAAGGATGAAGACCCTGGAATCCCATCAGTGGGCACAAGAAAATGGCAAGAACACCTTAGATTCTAAAGAAACTGTCAGGAATTCCAACAGCCCAACCACCAGGGCAAAGGCGCCTGGGCTGCAAAGTGCCCCGACAGCACCCCCAGACAAAGGGGTGGAACAGAGGGCAACGGTGAAAGACGCCAAACCAGGGGCTCTAGCTCCAGGGTCTGCATCCCAGGATGAGGCAGGAAAGGGCCCATGGGAGCCTGCTGCCCAGAGGCCAGACTCAGCACAGGACAGCAGTGCCATAGACACACAGGACTGAACTTGGGAAAGCCACATACCACAGGCCAGCACCCAGGGAAGGAACACAGTGCTTCCTGTGGTCCACCCAGTGCAGGGCAAGAGTTCCAGGTGGGCTGGGGGTGAGACAAACCCTAAACTCCTGAGCAGCAGGCCGAAAGAAAGCACTGAACCTGAAGAGCCCAGCAGCAATGACACAGGACAGCTCAGGAGAAAAGGGGCCAGACACCAGTCCTGAGAGAACCAAGAAAGAGAGGGACAACGGGATGGGGAGCAGCTGCCTCCTCACACCTGTGCTGTGCAACTCTGAGAGTCTGGAAAGAAGAGAGACCTCCACTATGCAGCCAGGGTCATAAGTCAACAGGCCAGTTGGGACTGTCTCCAGGAAAGGCAAAGGTCACTCACCTGTGCCAACTGGGAAGGGCTATAGAAGGGCACAGTTCCACTGGGAGGATTCCCTGCAGGGCAGTGGTCACCAGGAGCCTGCAAAGCACAGAGAAGTCACCTCAGAAAGGCAGGACTACACAACAGTTGCTGTCCAGCTGCAGACACGAGCCACTCTTCGGAAGGACTGCCAATGTTCTCAAACAGGCCACAGGAGCAGAACAGGGACAGTACTGGCAACACTGGGTGTTATTACTGGATGGCTCACAGGACTATCGCAAAAACAAAAGCAACATGCAGAGTGTAATGCTTTGAACTTTAGAAGACACACAGAGCGCAGCCCCAAGAGGCTGCTGGTGGCGGCCAGTCATCTGGCAGAGGTGAAGCATGAGCAGAATCCAGGGTTTCATGTGCAGCCAAAATGTCCCTTGAGCCTCTGTGACAAGAGTGAGCCTGGCTCTCAACATACACTGAAGGTGGAGCATTCCTCCACCTCCCCAGACCAGCCGCACAATGGCCAGGAGGGCTACACTCCCACGGGTGGCAGGAGACTTCCTCACCCTGACCAGCAAGAAGCCATCT